AACGTTCATGTAAGATTACCAACAAAAAAATCAACAAGATAATAAATTTCTAACCAACAAGTACAGTGAACCAGCAAAGGAAGCCAACAAACTGCTGGCAAATAGTAATCTAGAAAAGGTACCAGCACACTGAAGATATGTGGAAGAAATTAGCTTACATTCAATGACATGTAGAACAAACTTCAAAACCATCATTCTAGTTAACACTGGAGTGGAACTTGCTTGCTTTCTTTTTTTTATTTTTTCTTTTCTTTTTTTTTAAATCATGCATTATACTCGTAAAAGTATATATTTTTTAAATTTCTTCACGAGTTTTCATTGAATTTACTTCTCATACACTTGCAAGACAACTAATTCATTTGGAATCTGAATGGATAAAAGCATTTCATTACTACCCATTTACAGAAACTTTTCCCAAGCTGGATACAAACTTGTCAAAACTTCATGTCCCATAAAAAAGCTACCTTTTGGTGGGTAGAAATTCTACCAGAACATGAGATTCGTACATCAGCCTTCTCACTTTCTACCTTGCATTTTGAACTTTGATAGAAGAATCTATGCTTAATGACTTTGCATTTTGAGGTATTAAAAAAGGGTCTCAACTCTTGGGTACAAAGGGAGAAACTAATACCACAGTTGAAGTGTAAAAAAATATCCTTCCCCAAAGTTCCATTTAAAGTTCAAATCTTCCTCCCCGACACTCTTCAGTAAAACCAAACTTTTCCCTAGAACTAAAGATTCCACCAAAAACCCATGTAAGATTCAAAGACCCATCAAATTTTTCACAAAGAACAAACAATAGATCTTAAATTCGGCAAAAGAGTCAATCGGTAGAAGAGCCAAGAGAAAAATTAAGCAGATAATTGAAGAAATATAAGAGGAGAGGTGTACCTCAATGGAGAAAGCTGCTGAGGTCTCCTCTTCAGAAGTTAGAGAGAGAGAGAGAGAGAGAGAGAGAGAGGATTTGATTGGACAAATTTTCAAAAGCAACCCATTTGATAAACTAATTGCAAAAAACGACCCATTTGGGATTTATTTAGAGAAACCGACCTGGTTTCAGCACTGTCGCTGAAACCAGGTCGGTTTTTCTAAAAAACTTTACGAAACTTCACGGGAGTTCAACTCCCGTGAAGTTTTTTCACATAACAAAACTTCACGGGAGTTGAACTCCCGTGAAGTTTCGGAATTTTTTTTTCAAAAACCGACCTGGTTTCAGCGCTGAGGCTGAAACCAGGTCGGTTTTTACAAATAAAACTGAAATGGGTCTTTTTTTGGGAATAGTTTATCAAATGGGTTGGTTTTGAAAATTTGTCCGCCAAAGTATTGTATCTGGAAGAAATTTTCAAAAAAGACCCTATCCAAACTTTTATCTCAAAATCGACCCATTCCAAACTTTATGACAGAAATCAACTCAGTTTTCGGTCACGTCAGCATCGTGCCAGGAACTGGGACGTTTTAAAAAAAAATTAAATTTCTAATTAGTCGTGGTTGGCAACCCCGACTAATTAGGATCACTCTTTGCCACCCTTAGAAACTCTGTGTGATTAGCAGAGCTAAAAAAGTCGGGGTTGCAAAATGCGACTATTTTGGTCGGCTTCCCAACTCCTACCATATGGAGACCATTCTAGGGATAGAAATGGTGGGGGTACACAACCCCGAGCATTTGGCAAACCATACCGCTTACGGTGCACGAAATGGTCGGGGTTCCCAACCCCAACCATTTGGCAGAGACCCTCTTCGATGTACCCTGGGGATAGAAATGGTCGAGGTTCCTAACCTCGACCATTGGCAGAGACCCTCCAGCCCACAAACTTGTTGGAAAATCTCTTTTTCTGCTAACGTATATCAATCCTCGACTAAAATTGTCAATTTTAACACAAACTCTCTTGCTACACATATATCAATTTATAATCAATTTCAGTCACAAATAAACACATATCTATATTACATCTATAACCAATTTCAAACAAAAACATAATATGTAATTCACTTACTGAAAAAATCCTATCATAATCATAGCGTCCAACTAGCATTTCAAACACAAACATCATAAAACAAGCAATATCGAAATTTAGCAAATGTTTAGAACTCTCTTTCCTCTCGCTCTCCCTCTTGCTCTTCTTCTTCTTCCTCTCCCCCTTCCCTGTTCGCCTTCAACATGAGCTTGGATGACCTCATCGTCAGGTTGTGTGTGAACGTGTGAGCGCATGACATCATCATCGATTTGAACCTGCTGTGAACATTCGGCTTGAGCCTGTTGTGAACATCCGGCTTCGTCGTGTGCACAACTTGAGCCCGCCCTCGTGTGTCCTCCGACATGTCGACGCTCGTACCCTATGATTCGTTCTTGACGTCTATCACGATTTGCATGACGCGTCTTTCTAAGAGCAAACCAAACTTTCGTATGATGCAAACAAATGTATTCCTCTCCCCTGGCTCGGTAGTCGATCTCAATGCATCATGTGCAATAGAAACAACCTCATCGAGTTCTTGTACCTATAAAATAAAAAGCAGAAGAGGATTATTAGCAATTGGATGATATTAAAATAATAATCACAAATTAATTGTATATTTTGCCTATCTACTTACCAACTCTCTCTCAACTAGACCTCTCGGTGTGTACTCCTTAGGTGTTTTGTTCTCTCGAAATATCCATCAAGTACACATCTAGTTCCGGTGCATCAGCTCTCTTCATCAGTACAACATCCTCCCTCAACTCACAATTCTCAATGTAAGCTTGACGAATTATCTTCCAATTTTGATGATGTGCTCCTTTTCAGGGATTTCGCTCTATTCTTTCTACAGGATCTGGAATATGTTATTTTAATCCAAATTGTCAAAACACACGATCGGGCACGTCCATTTCGAAAATCTCAAAATATATAATCGATACTCAGGCACGCCATATATTTTTACCATCTCTGCAAATATCTGATAGTGAAGCTAAAACCAGTTTATAGGGCATCTACTTGACCTATAAAGAAAATATAGAAATTTACATATCAGTCAACATATGATATATTTATCGAATATAGTTAGATTATGATTTTATGTCTGTTCACCCTCCGTTTGTCGTACTAGTAAAAGTTTTCATGACCCTTTGGGGAGGTTTGGCAATATCTGAAAACATTCCATATATATGATAAAGGTTTAGTATAGATTGAAATAAATGTATAAAATTACATGTAATCGTAAATATTAAAAACTAATATATCTGCATCCTAATGGAATCTGACCATTGAGAGCGCGAGTCTCCCTCAAATCTGGTGTTCCTAAATGTCATCTTCCCATGACCATATTTGCAGCAAAGTGAGGTAACCTTTGAATTCTTTATTTTGCACGAATGTCATTTTGTCATCTCCCTATAGAGATTAGCTAACACTACATTCCCCCAAGATAATTCTCCTCACTCCTCAAACTCCTCAAGAAGTGGTAACCATCTAACATCTACTGAATCCTTAGTTGAATTCGAAAATAGAATGGTACTGATCATATGGAGTATATACACATGGGCATAGCTCTTGACGATTTCATCAGTTACATTAATCGGTGCATTCATGTAATTATTTCATAACCACTCAAGCTTGATCTTACTACCCTTCATATTAGAAGCTTGACTCAGTAATCGTTCACACATTCCTCTCCAGTTGAAGTCATTGGTGCCCATAACAGCATCTCCATCCACTTTGAGGCCAAGTAAAACCCCTACATCCTACATCATGTAGAGTATTACTTGACTCTCATAGGAGGTAACACATTAAGAATATATAATTGAATACGTAAAAAAACCACTCCTAATTTTTAATGTTCTCAACCTCCACAACCGCGAAAGCTAAAAGAAATAAGCCACCATCTGCCCTGCTATAGCAACAAGCAATATACCTTTATATTTACCATATAAGTGTTTGTCATCAATGCTAAGAATCGGCCACAAAATTTAAATTCATCGATCGAAGGACCAAATGCCCAAAATACAGAGGCAAATTGATAAACTCCCAGACTGATCTCTTTAGTTATAAGTTTGTATTCATATCCATGATTGCTTCTTTTGACCGCATCAAGATATTGAGGAAGTGCCGCGTAAGGCTTCTCCCAATCACCAAATATTTTTTCATCCCAATTCTCCTTGCATTCCATGCTTTACTATATGATATTTCAATGAACCTAGTATCTAGCACTATATCAATTATATTACCAGGAGTTAGTTTAAGCTTCTTCTTTAATTTTGGTATAATCAACCGTACTATATAAAAGGCAAATGCACCACTAAGATATTGCTCTAATATCGGATTGATTCATGTGTGAACATCGTAGTATTCTGTATCCTACAATGCCCATTAGTTTTCTTTCCGACAAATGCATATAACTTCCAAGGACATACGTAATTATCTTTATTTCCCTCGGCTTGACATTTTATTTCTGTATTCATAAAACAAATTGTAGTATAACATGTGTGATTGCTTTTAACTTGCTTGAATTTGACATTATTTTTGATAGAGTAATTATGAATAGCATCAACCAATTAGTCCTTAGTCTTGAATAAATGTCCAACTTTAAAAGTGAAGTCCTCATCTCTTCTACCAGTCGAACTTTGGCCGATGCCAATATCTTATACTATGGAAGAACGAATCCACTCATCATCTTCAAACTCATCGGGAGTAAGCTCTTCATACTGAACATATTCATTATTAACATAAGCCTCATCAAGCCATTCAAGATTTTCTTCAACATCTTCAATCACAAATTGCACGATGTTAATTGGTGTACTATTATGTTCTTCACCTTTAGATTTGTTACTTTTTTTCATCCTCTTCAATAGCTGCCCCTCTTAACAACCTCAAATTTTCATATGGGGCTTCATTATTTTTAACATTTGATGTTCCCGCAAATGAATGTGCACTTAGATATTGAAATTGAGTCCGCTCCGTTTCACTCGAAGAAGAAAGAAAACCGGCAGACTCAACTCCCAAATCTAACATGTGTGAGAATTCTCCTGGAGATTTGAATATTTGGCACGAACTATATGAAAACTTTTTAATAAACAATTCTACCATTGGTTGTGACTTGCTCAAATTAAACATAATACTCATTTGATGATCGTTTGAGATCTCAATTTCGGACATTCTATCAAAAGTTATGGGCCAATTGTATATTATTTTTAGTCGGTACTCTCGTGGATCAATTTTAGTAACTCGTTGTAATTCCTTAATCAAGTCAAAGTAACTACATGATTCTGAGATTATTAACAGCGTCGTTACCCCTCCAACATTCATTAGCATATTATTCATTCCATAATTACTTTCCCACCATAAGAGCAAGCAATAAAAACCATATTGTTCAACCTATGAAAAAAAATTAGATGTTATCATTCAAATTCTAATCAAATTCTAAAAATTCTAAAAAAATTTATCAGACCATTGAATAAGAGAGGAAAACCCTAGATGCAAATAATCTCATAATCCTATAACTATAATTTTGATCAAAAACCCTAAACTCCAAAATGAAAACCCTAAACTCTAAAATTGAGCATTCTATGCCCTAGAATTTTAATTTTAATTAAAAAATCCACACACAAAGAATTTAAACCACCACAAAGATAGTGATATATTATATTTTAAACCCTAAAAGTTGGATTTTGATGAAAATCCTAGATTTGAATGTTGAAGAAGAGAGAAAAACCCTAGATTTTTAAATGTTAAAAGAGGAGAAAATGAAGAGAAATTACCCTAAAAATCTTTTGCAAACTTCGTCGTTGAATTTCGACCACAAAAATGGGGTTGGGAGACTTGGGTAGGCGAACGATTGGGAGAGACCAGAGTTAGAGAGAGAGAGAGAGAGAGAGAGAGAGAGAGAGAGAGAAATCGATACTGTGAGGGAAGAGGGGATCGGTTGGTAATTTAGCGAGCAAGCCCCACCATAAATAGTCGAGGTTAGGCCTCGACTATTTGGTCCCTTACCGATTCCCCATTTTCGAGCGAGGGGGAGAGTCTGCCAAATTATCAAGGTTGGCAACCCCGACCATTTTGGTTTGAGTCTGCCAAACGATCAGGGTTGGAAACCCCGACCATTTTGGTTTCAGAATATAAAGATTTAAGGGACTAACAGCCAAAAAACCCCCCATCATATAACTCGTACATTTCAGGTTTAATTAGCTGTATCCCACATGAAATTTCAACTCAACATTGCGTTAACAATCATAGAACATACTTAGCGTACCTCTTGTTAACTAAGACCTTTAAGAATGAGTGATATCTCAACTGTCAACTAGGGGTGCATTTGGTCCGGATACGACTCGGATATGATGCTTATCATATCCATACCTGCTTACTCATACCGGATACGGAGCGGATATACCTCGGTAAGAAAAATTCATATCTATATCCGCTAAAATCGGATATGGTTACGGATATACATGCAGATATATAAGCGGAAATGTACATGAATACAAAACGGGTATGAGAAAACTAGTTAGTATTGAGAAAAATATATAGTTTATGGGATACAAACGAGTTCGTTAATATGTTTATTATAACTAAAAAGTTAAGATTAGACATATTGATCATCAAAAAGTTTAAGATTCAGATATTACGAATACGAATATTTTACTATAAAACCATATATGTAATCATATCCTATCGGTTATAGATTTGAGTTACCATATCCTTATCCTAACGGATACGGTTACGGATATTTTGTCGGATACAAATACAGTTTAGCACCCCTACTGTCAACTTTCAATGACTCACAATAAATGTATTTTTTTTAATTTAAGAGAAAAAACTACCTATCTTTTTTTTTAAGAACTCAATAATGTATATCCACCTTTACAGTGTTGATTAATGGTAATGTAATGCAATGTAATAATCAAAGTAAATATCTTGACATGAATAAAAAAAATCCAGTATTTGTATAATTAAAAGAATAGGGTTGATGTACATTCCAATATTACAAGTAAAATCTAAAGCGCCAAAAGCAAATTAAATGTAGGGTATAAAACATAGAAATCGCTGCGAGCAAAAATTGATGTGAGGTCAAAGATTATATCGCTTGGACATGATACATTGTCTTTCAACTTCATCGCTCTCCATCTATAAGATATCGGATGGAAGGATGAGCAAAGAATATAAATCTGTACTCCATCTGAAGCAAAGTATGTTATTTATTGTGCCTAGAACTGGTTAGGTTTGTACCAGGTCTAGTCAAAATAATCTCCAAAATTTTCCTGTCGCAGAAAACATAGTACCTCAAAGTTCCTGCAATAAATCATGGAAATGAAAAGAACGTAGTCAAGTAATGCTCATTCACAAACATATAAAGAGAGGTAATGAGCTTGGAATATTTCAAAAGTGGGTCTAAGCTCATGCACCTAATTAGAATGTCAATGATTTTTAATGCTCAAGGCTGTAGTTTTGAGTCTCCTAACTCATCTTCGAGTAGTATGGATATATGTTTCAGATTCATTGTCAAATACGGTACACTTCCAAGGCGCTCAAGAATCAAGTCGGAAAATAAGTTATTGTTGACAAATATGGATATTAGAATGTTAATGAAATTTGTGCATATTTATACTTTCTCAATTTCTACAAATAGATGCATGCTTTCTAAGTTGTTAAAATAGAATAAGGAATAGTAGAAGGTTTGCTAGGTTATATAGGACCAAACACACAAATTAATTTATAACCTCTGGCGATCTTAATGACTGCAGGACAAGTAAAAAATAGTAAAATATCTCATTTTATGACCAAGTTCAGGGACAAATAATATTAGGGATTTGAGTCATACCTTCGGAGTGACATCAAGTGGGCAGAAGGGGTTTCCTCTCATCATGCACTACACGATGGCTAGCCTGGAAATAAGAGTAGTGTTAAGGTTAAGAAACTTTATTTATTATTTATTTATTTGCATGAAAAAAGGTAAAACATAAAAGTTTCCTTACATCCTCAGTGGCACCAGCAGTCATATCTAAGAAGGAAGCATCCATGGATCTGAAAATACAATAACATTGATGTTATTACTAGAATATCATGCAAGAAAGGTCAATTGGGAAAGCACGACTTGAAAGATAACTCCAGTGTTTGCCTCGGACATGACATAGCTCTTTAGACTTAATCCAACCTAGGTGTCGTGTTAAAGCAGTTAAGTCTAGCTTACAGAGGAAAAGATCTGGTTTATGACATCATATGCAATAAACCTAACTAAGCATGTTCAACTCTTTGAAGATCCCCAATATATGCATCTGGTAATGTAAGCCAGATCATCAAAGTCGCTGAAGGAATGATACACCATTGGATTTCTAGTTTAATCTTTTTTATTCGATAATAATGAAAATCAGACACAGCACGAAAGAAATACTAACCGGCCCAAATAAACAAATCTATCTACGAACCTGCTATTTTGAGCATCGAGCGCTTCTAGTGTTCCGTTTGGAGCATTGTCTTTAACTTTCGCAAGTGGTGAAAAGAACTAATAGAGAACGAAAGTAGTTAATATCAGGAGAACAAACAATTGACAATATAAGAATTTTTCATCACACAGTTACCTGATGCATCGATATAAACACTATTGAAATCCCCAGCATAAAGTTTGCAGTCAGAGGATGGCCAAATAATACAGCAGATGCTATCCCAGTAAAAATGGTCGCGACAGTTGATGAATATTTCTTCAAAATTGTATCTGTACATATCATTAAGGCAATCAACTATTTAGCTTTAGTTTTTTTTCCTGAAAAAAATTAACAATCCCAACACATAATAGAATCACAACTTACCTGCATATTTGAAAAAGAATGAGGATAGTATGCCTTGTGCTGCATTATTCAATATGAGTAGCATTGTGGCCTTTGAGTGGCCTTGAAGGATATCAAAGCTGCTGGGCCCTGTACAATTCATAACACCCGGCAAGATATTTGAGCATCACAGCATGTAGTTTGGAGCATGAACATGAATACGAATTATACTAAGGTAAAGAGAGCAAAAACGGCGCCGCAGCGCCGCTACACCGCCACCACCCACGCCCCCCCCCCACACACATATATATATATATATATTATATATATATAATATATATATATATATATATATGAGAGAAATGGAGAAACTTGGTACAATTTGCTCCAAACAACTTGATAGTGATGTGGCCTAATCTTGTCCCTAATATCTACATTGGATTTGGTGAAGGGTGGTTGGGCTCTATCTTCGAGGTGTGATGTAGGGGCAAGATTATGCCACATCACTACCAAGTTGTTTTAGTAACTTGGTACAAGGTTCTCCATATTTCTCTCTCTCTCTCTCTCTCTCTCTCTCTCTGCTCTCTCTATATTATATATATATAATTATATATATATATATATATATATATATATTATATATATATCACATGTATTTACATGAAGTTCCATACCAGCTAAAAGAAGTTCATCAATTGGCATGTTTACCTCTTTATGGAACAATAACTATTCCTAACAAAAACCTGCAAGGAATAACTTCGTGGAAAAATATATGCACCTAAAAGAAATTAAGAAACAAAGGTCACTGAAGAAAGTCTTTCCTTGGACAGAATCTGTGATTTAACAGGGGAACAGGTGACAGACACGAGTTATTACAATTCAGATGTTGAGACACTGGAGTATACGAGTGTGGGTGGAGATACCAACAACTGAAAGATGAACAAACTTTCAGTAGAGGAACTGCTACTTCTTTACCAAGCTTACAAGTATCCCCTATAAGTTGTTGCAACAATAGTCATTGCTGACTGAAAACAATATTACTTGAAGCTTATTTTCTGAACATGGGGATGTGTATGGAGCATATTTAGAGATGGAAGTGAACCAAATAATTTACAAACAGTTTGGTTCTTATTAGTCTAGCTATTCTATCAAATTCAATTTGATTCCTTATTGTACAATAAACAAACAATTTTTAATATTCAATTCATAAACGAATAGAATTTAATGAAATGTATATTTGATTTGCTGGGTCATTAAATATTCATTTAAGTTTAATATTTATTAAATGGTAGATTGGAATTTTTTTTAATTTATTAGTTAACATAAACTTAAATGGAAAAGCAATTTAGAGGGAAAATCAACAAAATATAATGCTTTGAAGGATATATTTAAAATATATAAAATTAGAAGGGTGAATATGCAAAAAAACTCCAAGTAATAGAAAGGCAAAAAGACATGTCAACTCCAAGGTTCAAACCAAGGACCTTCTATTTGGAAGCCAAAGCCCCCAGCTGAATGGGCTAACAAATATTAGTGAATATGTGTTCACTGAATATTCAATGAATCAGATATGAGCATCACTGTGATATTCGACTCAAATTCAAATTCGAATATTTCAACTTCAACCGAATTCAAATACACTGATATTTGATTCAGTCATTTTCCGCCCTAAGGATATTACCCTTTTTCTTTTTTTTCTTTTTTTCCTTTTGTAATTTGCTAAGCATATTACCTTGAGATGCAAAGAAATTGATCAAATCTTACAACAGATTTTCAACCCATTTCAATTCTCTCAGCGCTGAAGTCCTTGCCAACTCAAATACTGCAGAAAATAATTGCTATAACACCTTGAAGGCTAGTTGGCAGGTAGTCTAATCTATCACATCAATCATGCAATTTAACTCATTTATCCGCCGAGCAGCTCTGCAAGATTGTATAGGTCTTGAAAACTGTCCGGATTTAAAAGATGAGAAGCTAAGATTTGCTATAGAGAATCACATCCATAATTGAGGCTAGAAGCCAATGACCAAACAGAAACATAAGCCTAATCAACAGAAAGCATCACATTTTCATGTAGAAAGTTGAGGAATTTTAGATTTTTATTTTAGATCTCTCTAGATTTTTTATTTGTCTTTTGTTTTTACTTTTTACATACATTTAAAAACGCTCTTGAATTGCCACTAAAGTTCTTAAAACCTATGTCATACCCTGCTGCTTTGTTATACTTTCCACTTTCCAACACTGCCATGCATTTGTCACCAAACATAACTGAAGGACAAATTTTCTTGCAAATCTAATGAAGCGATTCTAGAGACAACTTCCCTGACTTTGTTAACAGAAGTTTTCCAACAACCAAAAGTTCGCAAAAAAACGAATCAGATCTAGATAGTATACCTTTAAATATCGCAATTCCAACAATGGCAAGAAAGTTGAATATGGCACCATAGCCATATAGAAATAGGTTCTGCAAATATTATAACAGAAATCAGAAAGTTAAAAAGCATACAAGCAAGAAAAATTTCATTAGCAAAATTCATTTAACTTGATTGGTAAATCAAGGAAATTCTTGCAGTAAAGGATGCGTCCATCGGTCATATTTCCTGAAGTCTTAAATAGCAACTGCACTAGGGGTCAAAGGGTCACCTGAAGGTAAATACTTGTATCAAACTGGCTTTTCAACGCATATTCATTGTAGACAGACGCCATTGATGGCACTGTTACCTGAAAATTATACATCAAAAGGTAAATACAAATAGCATGTGAACAATAGAAGAAATGGAAACACAAGTGGTTGTCTATTTCAACTTATGAGCAAATTCATATAATATAGTTTCATCTGCAATTCAATTCCAGTTTTCATTTCCAACCAGAAAGGAATCAATGAATTTCTTAGCAGAAAAAAGTCAACCTTTCAACAAGGTTTACTGATAGAGCATCTATTCACTTGAATAACGCCAACTAACTATTGAATTTCATAGAACATATCCAAAGGAAATTTAACAGTTATTTCAGATTGTAATGGGAGAATCAAATAGGAGGCAAATATCTGTTACATAATAGCAAATGTAATAAGATATCAAAGATTAGACAAAAATAAAAAATGATCAAAGCTAGTTTGACAATCATGAAGTTAATCATCAGATAAAACTTGTGCAAAAATCAAGGGGGGACAACGATGAGCTTTTCAAGTTAAAAGGATTAAGCTTGTTGTTAAACATGCTGAAGTTTTCATAGAAACGAAGTTACAGAAAACACCACTAACAACAGGCTTCTGGAAAATTCAAGACCCTGTAGCAACCATTTCTAATATTTCAACCAAGGATGGCCTCTGACCTAGAGGAAGGACAATTGGGAACATGGATCCCCAGATGTGTTACCAAGTTCTCCTTACCTACTGCACCTCCTGTCAAAGTTCTCGTTATGGTGCTTGTTTTGAAAAACCACCTCCCAAAACCAGTTAAAGGACTTTGTTCTGGATGTTTGATAAACACTAAGTAGAGCAACTTGGTTTCCCCTTGACATTTAACTTCAGCCATCCTCTCCTAAGATTTTCTGTGCAAAGAATAACACAGTGGCCGATCACCTAAGCCTGTCCTAACAAGAGACTTTCTTCCAGAAAACAGATAAATGGCCACCATTGGAAGATGGTTCCTCTCCTCAGCATCCACCTATTCGCCATCGTAACTTAATATTATCTTCTTGTTGACCACCAAAAACACCAGCATCACCACCTAAATCTCTCCTTCCAATTTAATTTACGAGCCAGCTAGATGTAAAATTTGTAAAAGATCACACATGACATAAAGCTAAGCTATTTCCCAAGAAGTCTCCCTTGTGCATATATGGTGTATTCTGGAGTATCTCGAAGCTATTTGTACCTCCAAGAAGGTATGATATTTGTGTCTATTGGATATCTTTTATTTGTTTTTAATTTCTCTAGTTGAAATTGCATGTCATCTGCTTCAGAAAGATTGCTTCAGCGTACCTTGGCGTGATTCATTACTTTGCCCACATTATTTTCTGTTTTTTTACTCTTAACCTTGTTGTTCATCATACTTTAAATTCATCAGTTCATGTGGACTTTGTATTCAGATTTCAGACTTGTAGCTACACTAGTGTGTTTATTCTTCATGTTGCTTTCTCATCTTTCATGTTCTTCATTGCACAGGCCCTGTGACTTGTGGGTATGGGCCAACATTCTAATGTGGTTTTGTCTGTCAGTTTCCTTTCATTAGCTTAAACTAGCTCGTTTCTCGGGACTGAACTTTCCTTTGGGAAGTTCTCTCAAACCCATCAGCTTTCTAGCTTAATAAAACTATTAAATATCCAGTTCACTGCTGCTTTATCTAAAAAAAAAGAGCTCCTTCAGAAAAGCATTCACAACGAGTTTGTGAACACGGCTTATACACTCTAGATTTTAACTGGTAATGGAACAAGAATGAAGCAATACATTTAAGGAGATTGCTTCAGCACACCCCCAAATTGTTTAATCAAATACTGATGACACACAAAAAACCACCATCATTATCTCCATCAAAATTTTCCAACTATATATCAGTGCTGAAAGCACTACTTCGCAGGGTAGGTATTCATATTCGATGGAAATTTTGATAACTTATCTTAATTAGAGGCCCACTGCTAGCTTCCCTTTTTCTTTTTCTTTTTCTTTTTCTTTTTCTTTTTCTTTTTTTATCTCCATCCTCTCTAACTGGATTCAACTCTGCCACCTTAGGAAGATAAACAACAAACTACATCGTGATCTTCAACCACCTCTTCTATCTAATAATGATCAGTATCACGAGTGTCTCTTTGTTTGTAACTCCTTCAAGTATAATAGTCCTCACCATCCCCATAACTCATTGATTCCTCCATCAATATCATTAACTCGTAACTCCTTGGAATCACATCATTCTCTATTCAAGCTCTACAGTCCTCTGATTACTGGTGAATAAAAAGAGAGTGAGGTCCTACCAATGATAAAAAGTACGGCTTCTCTGAAGGGAGAAAATAAATCTTTGCTTTCCCAAATTACGCTTACTTAAAAATAAAATTTAATATACGGAACAGCAGAGGATAACTCTGCATTTAAAACATACAATAGTGACCCAATAAAATATTTTATACTAACATTAAATAAAGAAATAATTTACATGTAACAAACTTACAAATATCAATGTGTAGAAGTAAGCAATCGTTGCAACCGGAAGATCAAGTGCAGTAGTACCGCCTGGTTGTGAACGAAGTTGATTAACACTGATCCCAATAAGCAAGAGGGCAAGAGCTTCCCACTGTCCATCAACAAAAGAACACAGAATAATTAGAATACAGTAGCAGAGAATCAGAATGTCATTTCATCGTCATCTAAGCCTTCTCCCATCAAAATGGGTTGGCTATAGAGCGGTAAACTATATGGTGAAGATTCTGTAGAAGTTTTTTTATAAAACTAAATGTAAGCGAACTTGATGTTAAAGAGGGGAGGGGGGAGGACTTGGGGAGGTTACAATGCTAACCATTCTAAAATTGTGTTTGTTTATATTTTTTAGTAAATGAGGGCAAGGATTGGGAGGGTTGAAAAGAAGCAAATTTCCTCACTTTCTTAACTCTCTTAAAGTGGATGGATTGGGAGAGAAGGGGTTGGATTTTAAGTGAATTGCTCACTTCTCTTCCTCGTTTCTACTTTAAACAAACACAAATTAGTTCTACCACTCTCCATACCTCTCCATCCCCTAATTTCCTATCCAAATACAATTAGTTGCATCACTCTCTCTTCCTCTCCTTTCCCTCCCCTTAGGTTTACTTCAATCATTCCCCCACCCCGCCCCCAACCCACGCGAGTGTGCGAAAAACCTTCTTTTCTATCCAAACCAATCATATAATTTTGCAAGAATCCAGTAAGAACCATATGATGGTCTTCGGATCACCTGATAGGTCAATTTGGCCTGTAGGCGATCTACCTTACTGATATATCCTTAAATCCGTACCTTAAAGTCTGTGTCACTAGACTAAAACTCTGAAGTTGTGGTGAAGGTTGAAGTTCATAATCTTATATTCTAACACGCCCCGCAGTTTGAACGCCCTTTTTAATGGGCGGAAAAATGGACTTACGCAGTAGTATCTATTTTTTTTAATCTGCTTCGAATTTGTGGCCTCTAATATTTGAACCGTGTTTGCTTTGATTGCCTACCTTACAGATACGCCTTCAAATCCGTACCTTTAAAGTCCGTGTCACTAGACTGAAACTACGAAATTGTGGTGAAGGTTGAGGTTCATAATTTTATATTCTAAAATGCCCCGCAATTTGAGCGTCCTTTTTGTATGGGCAGAAAATTAGACTCACACAGTAGCATTTATTTTTTAAATCTGTTTCGAATTTATGGCCTCTAATATTTGAACCTTATTTGCTCTGATATCATCTTAAAGTCTCTATCAGTATACCAAAACCGTAAAGTTCTGGTGAGGGCTGAGGGTTATTGTTTCTCTCAGAGAGTGAAAATCCTAAGGGGAAGGGAAAATAAGATAAATTTTAACTAGGGATGCATCTTTGAAGCATGACATGAGCCAAAGAGCAAAAAGAGCACATTTGTAAGAGAATTAGACTCAGAAATATATAAATCGGAATCCCAGAGAAAATTTATGCAAATTATGCATAAATTGTCCTTCATGAGAGTGTCTCTTAATTTAATCTCCCTCAAGAATGCATATCAACAAGTTTATATGTTTGACTCTTTGATAGCTAGAATTATCAACAGGATAAGAGTCACTCCAAAGTGTAAACATGCCTGAATTATGGAAAAGCGCCTTCTCATGACCATCTTTAAAAGGACAGCAATAACCAAAACCTGCAAATGCACGCAGAATAAATAAAATAAGAGTTAAATATCTCCCAGAAAAGGGATGAAAAGCAAAAGGCATATTTAATATTGAAGCATGAGGTGAAGAGTGCGGACTACAAGCAAATGGCAACGAGAATCTAAGAAAACAATATAAAGAAGGTTTAGGTCAACTTCAAAAGTCTCCCAGAAGAAATCCTCTAATAGCTATATATAACCAAACAAGTACTTGAGTTAACATAACAAGTTGTCTCACAAATTTCCACATGCATGTAACCAGAAGATAACTGAACGACGTGTACAGAGATGTTAGAAGGAAACACTTTTTTATATCATAAGATGCAGCTACTGCTCCACCAAAGATGTATAGAACTGAACGACATGTACAGAAATGTTAGAAGGTAACACAAACTCTTTTTGATATCATAAGATGCAGCTTCTGCTCGTATAGAAATATAGGAAAACTAATACAGAATGTGATATA